TCCCGTTCGGAAGTTACACTCGAAAACCGCGATATTTTTCTCAAAAGGGTCCCCCCTTATGACATTTTTTCTGAAAAAGTAGAAAAAAAAAGTTTCAAAAACAATTTTTCCTAACTAATTCGACCACGCTGATTCCAAAAATTCAAACCGCACTTTCGTATCTCTTCCCGTTCGGAAGTTACACTCGAAAATCGCGATATTTTTCTCAAAAGGGTCCCCCCTTATGACATTTTTTCCGAAAAAGTAGAAAAAAAAAAGTTGCAAAAACAATTTTTCCTAACTAATTCGACCACGCTGATTCCAAAAATTCAAACCGCACTTTCGTATCTCTTCCCGTACGGAAGTTACACTCGAAAATCGCGATATTTTTCTCAAAAGGGTCCCCCCTTATGACATTTTTTCCGAAAAAGTAGAAAAAAAAAAGTTGCAAAAACAATTTTTCCTAACTAATTCGACCACGCTGATTCCAAAAATTCAAACCGCACTTTCGTATCTCTTTCCGTTCGAAAGTTACACTCGAAAATCGCGATATTTTTCTCAAAAGGGTCCCCCCTTATGACATTTTTTCTGAAAAAGTAGAAAAAAAAAGTTGCAAAAACAATTTTTCCTTACTAATTCGACCACGCTGATTCCAAAAATTCAAACCGCACTTTCGTATCTCTTCCCGTTCGGAAGTTACACTCGAAAATCGCGATATTTTTCTCAAAAGGGTCCCCCCTTATGACATTTTTTCTGAAAAAGTAGAAAAAAAAGTTTCAAAAACAATTTTTCCTAACTAATTCGACCACGCTGATTCCAAAAATTCAAACCGCACTTTCGTATCTCTTCCCGTTCGGAAGTTACACTCGAAAATCGCGATATTTTTCTCAAAAGGGTCCCCCCTTATGACATTTTTTCTGAAAAAGTAGAAAAAAAAAGTTTCAAAAACAATTTTTCCTAACTAATTCGACCACGCTGATTCCAAAAATTCAAACCGCACTTTCGTATCTCTTCCCGTTCGGAAGTTACACTCGAAAATCGCGATATTTTTCTCAAAAGGGTCCCCCCTTATGACATTTTTTCCGAAAAAGTAGAAAAAAAAAAGTTGCAAAAACAATTTTTCCTAACTAATTCGACCACGCTGATTCCAAAAATTCAAACCGCACTTTCGTATCTCTTCCCGTACGGAAGTTACACTCGAAAATCGCGATATTTTTCTCAAAAGGGTCCCCCCTTATGACATTTTTTCTGAAAAAGTAGAAAAAAATTCAAACCGCACTTTCGTATCTCTTTCCGTTCGAAAGTTACACTCGAAAATCGCGATATTTTTCTCAAAAGGGTCCCCCCTTATGACATTTTTTCTGAAAAAGTAGAAAAAAAAAGTTGCAAAAACAATTTTTCCTTACTAATTCGACCACGCTGATTCCAAAAATTCAAACCGCACTTTCGTATCTCTTCCCGTTCGGAAGTTACACTCGAAAATCGCGATATTTTTCTCAAAAGGGTCCCCCCTTATGACATTTTTTCTGAAAAAGTAGAAAAAAAAAAGTTTCAAAAACAATTTTTCCTAACTAATTCGACCACGCTGATTCCAAAAATTCAAACCGCACTTTCGTATCTCTTCCCGTTCGGAAGTTACACTCGAAAATCGCGATATTTTTCTCAAAAGGGTCCCCCCTTATGACATTTTTTCTGAAAAAGTAGAAAAAAAAGTTTCAAAAACAATTTTTCCTAACTAATTCGACCACGCTGATTCCAAAAATTCAAACCGCACTTTCGTATCTCTTCCCGTTCGGAAGTTACACTCGAAAATCGCGATATTTTTCTCAAAAGGGTCCCCCCTTATGACATTTTTTCTGAAAAAGTAGAAAAAAAGTTTCAAAAACAATTTTTCCTAACTAATTCGACCACGCTGATTCCAAAAATTCAAACCGCACTTTCGTATCTCTTCCCGTTCGGAAGTTACACTCGAAAATCGCGATATTTTTCTCAAAAGGGTCCCCCCTTATGACATTTTTTCTGAAAAAGTAGAAAAAAAAAGTTTCAAAAACAATTTTTCCTAACTAATTCGACCACGCTGATTCCAAAAATTCAAACCGCACTTTCGTATCTCTTCCCGTTCGGAAGTTACACTCGAAAATCGCGATATTTTTCTCAAAAGGGTCCCCCCTTATGACATTTTTTCCGAAAAAGTAGAAAAAAAAAAGTTGCAAAAACAATTTTTCCTAACTAATTCGACCACGCTGATTCCAAAAATTCAAACCGCACTTTCGTATCTCTTCCCGTACGGAAGTTACACTCGAAAATCGCGATATTTTTCTCAAAAGGGTCCCCCCTTATGACATTTTTTCTGAAAAAGTAGAAAAAAATTCAAACCGCACTTTCGTATCTCTTTCCGTTCGAAAGTTACACTCGAAAATCGCGATATTTTTCTCAAAAGGGTCCCCCCTTATGACATTTTTTCTGAAAAAGTAGAAAAAAAAAGTTGCAAAAACAATTTTTCCTTACTAATTCGACCACGCTGATTCCAAAAATTCAAACCGCACTTTCGTATCTCTTCCCGTTCGGAAGTTACACTCGAAAATCGCGATATTTTTCTCAAAAGGGTCCCCCCTTATGACATTTTTTCTGAAAAAGTAGAAAAAAACAAGTTTCAAAAACAATTTTTCCTAACTAATTCGACCACGCTGATTCCAAAAATTCAAACCGCACTTTCGTATCTCTTCCCGTTCGGAAGTTACACTCGAAAATCGCGATATTTTTCTCAAAAGGGTCCCCCCTTATGACATTTTTTCTGAAAAAGTAGAAAAAAAAGTTTCAAAAACAATTTTTCCTAACTAATTCGACCACGCTGATTCCAAAAATTCAAACCGCACTTTCGTATCTCTTCCCGTTCGGAAGTTACACTCGAAAATCGCGATATTTTTCTCAAAAGGGTCCCCCCTTATGACATTTTTTCTGAAAAAGTAGAAAAAAAAGTTTCAAAAACAATTTTTCCTAACTAATTCGACCACGCTGATTCCAAAAATTCAAACCGCACTTTCGTATCTCTTCCCGTTCGGAAGTTACACTCGAAAATCGCGATATTTTTCTCAAAAGGGTCCCCCCTTATGACATTTTTTCTGAAAAAGTAGAAAAAAAAAGTTTCAAAAACAATTTTTCCTAACTAATTCGACCACGCTGATTCCAAAAATTCAAACCGCACTTTCGTATCTCTTCCCGTTCGGAAGTTACACTCGAAAATCGCGATATTTTTCTCAAAAGGGTCCCCCCTTATGACATTTTTTCCGAAAAAGTAGAAAAAAAAAAGTTGCAAAAACAATTTTTCCTAACTAATTCGACCACGCTGATTCCAAAAATTCAAACCGCACTTTCGTATCTCTTCCCGTACGGAAGTTACACTCGAAAATCGCGATATTTTTCTCAAAAGGGTCCCCCCTTATGACATTTTTTCTGAAAAAGTAGAAAAAAAAAGTTGCAAAAACAATTTTTCCTAACTAATTCGACCACGCTGATTCCAAAAATTCAAACCGCACCTTCGTATCTCTTCCCGTTCGGAAGTTACACTCGAAAATCGCGATATTTTTCTCAAAAGGGTCCCCCCTTATGACATTTTTTCCGAAAAAGTAGAAAAAAAAAAGTTGCAAAAACAATTTTTCCTAACTAATTCGACCACGCTGATTCCAAAAATTCAAACCGCACTTTCGTATCTCTTCCCGTACGGAAGTTACACTCGAAAATCGCGATATTTTTCTCAAAAGGGTCCCCCCTTATGACATTTTTTCTGAAAAAGTAGAAAAAAAAAGTTGCAAAAACAATTTTTCCTAACTAATTCGACCACGCTGATTCCAAAAATTCAAACCGCACCTTCGTATCTCTTCCCGTTCGGAAGTTACACTCGAAAACCGCGATATTTTTCTCAAAAGGGTCCCCCCTTATGACATTTTTTCCGAAAAAGTAGGAAAAAAAAGTTTCAAAAACAATTTTTCCTAACTAATTCGACCACGCTGATTCCAAAAATTCAAACCGCACTTTCGTATCTCTTCCCGTTCGGAAGTTACACTCGAAAATCGCGATATTTTTCTCAAAAGGGTCCCCCCTTGTGACATTTCTTCTGAAAAAGTAGAAAAAAAAAGTTGCAAAAAAAATTTTTCCTGACTAATTCGACCACGCTGATTCCAAAAAATCAAACCGCACTTTCGTATCTCTTCGCGTTCGGAATTACACTCGAAAATCGCGATATTTTTTTCAAAAGGGTCCCCCCTTATGACATTTTTTCTGAAAAAGTAGAAAAAAAAAGTTGCAAAAACCATTTTTTCCTAACTAACCTGATTTTGTCTCCATTTAATTGAATTTTATAAAAATCTAAAGAACTAAAAATCTTTCAACAAGGACCAGCTGCGATTTAGGTGACTGGTGGTATGTAATAAGGGGATGGTCCACTGTACTAAACAACAAAAAAATTTGGGTGGTCTTTCCAAAAAACTTAAACTTTACAGAGGCGCACTGTGCTGACTTTGCGCACGCTAGTAGAAAAAATATTGTTCCTAACACATGCGCAAACAAAACATTATTAAAAACTATAAATTTTCCACTCCGAAATCTCCGATTTTTAAAAACTATCGAGATAATTTTTTTTATGTAAGTTTATTGAATAAATTATACAAAGTTTAGGTAAATTCCTTTACCAAATTTTTATCAAGGCTCTTAAAAAATCGTTAAGAGTCAAGTACCTAAACCCGTAACAACTTTAAAAATTCCTTGAATATTTTTCGTATGAAATTTCGGCACTTAGCCCAAGTAGAAGACGTATTTAATAAACCCCGAGTGAAAACGTACAATTACCAATAAAAAAACCTCGCCACACATAATGGAGCCCCATGATAATTCCAATATTTGGTCATATTAATTCGAAAATGACGCCGACAATATCAATTTTCTCTAAACGCCTGTTAAAAGAAACGATTACCTAGGTGGAGGTGGATTTTTTCGAAATTTAAAAATGTGGCGCTTGAGACGACATGTCTTCTAACGCCCGTAGACGGTGAGAACCGTCCACTAGGCGCCTGCAAATTGGCAGCGAAGCTTGTATTAAGTAAAGCATCTTTTGGTCCGGACCTCTGACAAATTACCCACGAATTAAACCTCACATAGTCATAAGCATAATCGGTTTTTTTCTTGTTCAGCATTCTTTAAATAATATTGAAAGGTCATTAAAAAGTTTAAATTGTTATACAGGGTGTCACCAAATAAGTTGTCATCCTGACCTACGACAACTGACTTTTTATTATGACTTTTAGTGGCATAAATTTAGGAGCAGATTAAGCAAGTCAAAATAAGACAAAAATCTAAATAACAATTTTTCATAATTACGTATGTTTAAAAGATACAGGGTGATAAAGTGTTACTTATCATATCAGTTTTTTTAATATAACTTCTACTATGGTAGACTTGGAAAGGTGATATTTTGCGAACAGTCACTTACTACCAAAACACATATTCACACATAATTACAATTGTTCGAATGAACACAGTGTCGTAGAAACAGGGGTTGCTTAAGCTTATTGTCCCATACAAACTTTGAAGTTAGGTTTTTATACCATTTGATGCAATTTTTCGATTACTCAGTTCGGCTACTATTAAAAAGGTGTACCTACCTCTCAAACTACGATAAAATAAACCGTTTCCGATATATTCGAGATTTCAATAATTGTTATATCGCATTAAAGGACTAAAAGATATATATATATATATATATATATACATCTTGAAGTGCTTAGGTCGTCCATACGAGATCCAGCAATATGTCTTCTGCCAGAAGCATAGCGAATATATTTATTTTGATAAAGTATGTTTACTGTTAGACAGCTACAATATTACGTCAAGCAAAAATATAATTTTTATTTTTGTTTAAACTGCTTGTACTTTGCGATGGTTAAGTCTTCCTTATACATTACAGTCAGTTGGTCCTCCTAGCATATACGCCTTGGACATATGTCCGATATCGGTCTTCCAGCAATACCCAATATGCTACATACTACAGTGGATACGTTAACCGGCGGTGTTGTCATATGTCTCATCATATGATTTTTGATTATCATATAACTTCGCAGGCTTTTTGCCTTAGTTTTTACTGGGTGTCCATTTAAAAACAATCAATACGTCTGGATCTAAAATAGATATCAAAAATTGCTTAAAATAATTTCTGTGATATGCGGGGGGAATCATTATGACCACAAAACACTTTACTAAGCAATCCCTGGGGCTACCCCAACTTATTTTCTTTTTTAATTTTTACTTTTCTTTTTTGATACATCATTGGAAACCTTTTAAAACTTGCTATTTAACAGTACTAAACAAAAAACCTTTTAATCTTAATTTTTTGAGAAATTATTTATTCCAATTTCTAGTTACAAATATAAAAAAGCAATAATAAAAACCCGGAAAACACAAAATAATAAAAGTTAAATATACAAAAAATCATAAATAAACAAATTGTTCGACAATAATCAAAACACTTTAATTTTTAGCTATTTAAATTAAATGCTTTCCATCATTTTGTAAGAAATAGTAAATTCTATTCTAAAATTCCCTTTCGAAAATTTTGTCATGGAATAGCTATGCTGAGCTAGCTCAGCATTCTTGAAGTATTCCTTGTCGCAGATCTTTAATAGAACGATGCTGCCATAAAAAAGTCTACTATCAGGTCTGGAGATCTGGAAGGCCATTATATTGGTCATCTTTCACCAAACCACTGTTCTGCATAATTCTGATCCAGGCAAGTCTTGACAGCCCCATCTTGCTGAAAATGTAATGAATTTTCATCCAAAGTTAGTTCTCATCCTCTTTGATTGTCTATAGACCTGTCTATAGTTCATTTAATATTAGTGGCTGTATTGTTTTATCCAACATTTTAAAATAAACTTCACCTTTCCAATTTTAATGAATAAATAAGGGACCAATAATACAATCTTCCAAAATTCGTGCCTAGACATTAAGTTTTTTAAGATACTAGGTATGATTTTCTCTGATGAGATAAGGATTTTCATTGCTCCAATAACGACAATTTTGTTTGTTAATATTTCCATGTTGATAAAAAGTACACTCATCGCAGAAAATGCCTATTTTTTAGTATTTGGATCTCAGCGAGGGGTAAACCACTGATTTTTTAAAATTAAAAATTGCATACGAATGAACGCCCAAGGATTACAATCACAAGGGTAGTCATGCGCAACGCGTCGCTAAGAGAAATTTAATATTGATAACGACTGACAAGGAAAAAATCAGAACACAACGTCCACATAACGTTGAACGTTGGTCCGGCTGATTTTAAAGTGGTTTACTCCTTGGATCTCAGTTGATATCTTGTTATTGGTCATTTTACAAAATTGTAAACGCTTGTCATCGCCAAGTTATTGTGTAATATGTATCTTGAATTATAGGTGATGGTGATGGTGATCCTAACAGAGTCGGGCCAAAGCCTTCTTAATCAAGATGCCAAACTGGCCAAAAACCCCAATATGGGTGGCTTCATTGAGTATTGTTAGGCGGTAGCCCTGCAAGAAATGCCAGGTGGTACCATCTAATGAAAGCGCTTGGTGAAATGAAAACTGCAACATTGCTAGCCAAAGTTCTTTGTCTAGGACGCCCTTTTCACCAACAAGTGTGCACAGCAGTGGCTGTTTGTCAGGGTAGGCCTCTGAGGCTGCGCCTCACCCTTAAAATAAAGAAACGAACTACATTAAAAAACGAGTTTATGTTTCGCAATTTGGGTTAAGATTGTTTTGATATTTCCTTTGTTTTGTTATTTTGTTTTTAGTCTATTTTTTTTATTTATAATCGTTTAGTAGGGCTATCGGCCATTTTAAAAAAGGTCAACGCTTCGCAGAATAATACCTCCCGGGTAACGTGGAAATTTATTCGTATTTAGACAAAATTAACCTTATGTAGCCTCACCCTTCTATACATGCACGAGCCGCCACTGGTACACAGTAACCTTGTCTAGCTAGGAACCTTCGTAGAGCCGCAAGAAACGCTCTGGTTTCATGTCGATTACTGCTTTTAGGTTGCCTTGCCCTTTGGACATTCTAATTTGAAGAGGCTCGGCGTATACGTATTAATGCTGAACATTAGATCCGGATCCTTTTTCAATCCGGATCAGATCCGGATCTAATCCGAATTTTTCAATGTGCATAATCCGGTTCCGGATCTATCCGGATATAATATTCCGATTTTAGATTCGGAGCAAAGATCCGAAATATGGATCAAAGATCCGAGATCTGAATACTGTATCTTTGTAGTGCCAAACATCAGATACGGATCTTCTTCAATCCGGATCAGATCCGGATCTTTTTCAATCCGGATCAGATCCGGATCTTTTTTAATCCGGAACAGATCCGGAGCAAAGATCCGAAATCCGAATACACAACTGCTTAAAAGAGTTTTTTCTCAACAATATGCTTATAATTAATAATAATAATATAATTTATAATATATATAATATCATTTATTAGTTAATTCTAAGTCTATTTCCTTCATACAAAAATATTTGTCCGCTTCTCTTTTAACAAAAACTACGTCGATTGTTCACCAAGACAAACTTAAGATGTCATAATAAGGAAATTCTTCATTGCGAAATAAAGTTAATAATTTATCCGGTATCCGATATCCGGATCATAGATCCGGATCTCACATCTGGATCCGATATCCGGATCGTAGATCCGGATAGCGGATCTTAGATCCGGATAGCGGATCTTAGATCCGGATAGCGGATCTTAGATCCGGATAGCGGATCTTAGATCCGGATAGCGGATCTTAGATCCGGATAGCGGATCTTAGATCCGGATATCGGATCTTAGATCCGGATAGCGGATCTTAGATCCGGATAGCGGATCTTAGATCCGGATAGCGGATCTTAGATCCGGATAGCGGATCTTACATCCGTATATCGGATCCAGATCTGAGATCCGAATCCGGTTCCTATATTTAAGGATCCCCGATCCGTAAAAAAATCGGATCCGTGCAGCACTAATACGTATACTATAGTTAATACCAGTGTGAGCAAAAGAAGGGGAAATATTGACATTTGGTGTGGTAGATTGTCCATCAGTTGTTGTAAGGTTTTGACTTTTGCTCGGAAACTGTTTTGAAACTGTTTTAGCCGTTATGATTCAATATTTCTGTCACTAAAAGAACTAAAGTGAACATGTTTTCTTTATGTATCATTTTTTGGTGGGCATCTTGAACAATAAGAGTGGCTATGATGTCTCCATGTGGAATAATTATAATAATAATTGGATGTTTCTCGTTATATATTAACTAGGAGTTTTCTAGCCTTCCACCCTAATTAAGCCATCCTCATGAAGGAATGGTAATGAGTCTTTAAGGGGATTATTTTGACAAAAGGGCAACGATAATTTTTCATGTCTAAACAAGTATACTAGTTTGATTTTTTTTTATTGCAAACAGACCCTGTTTGTTGAAACTTTGCAACAAGCTCTTGAACTTATTTATGACGCACATTTTTGCCAGGGTGTAGTTTATTAAATGAAACTGCAGTTCGTAGAGCACACAGAAAAAAATCTAACATACTACTAAGAACAGCGCTGTCATTAAATGCATTAAAATTAAAGCAATCTAAATTGTTATTTTCTCAATTAATTACTATTAAACCAAAATAGGGAAATATTTTGCCTAAATGTCAAAGAATTTATTGCGTTAAATGTATACATTTAATAGTAAATTTATTAAATAAATCAAATTAGTATTTAATACAATAACATTCTACCATTCTAACAAATAAATGTCAATATGAATATCAATAGATTTAGGAGCGATAACTTTTGTTGTTAATTTAAAAACAGTAAACGATTATAAACCAAGTGCTAACTACCTATTGGTATTATAGGAACTGTTATTCAGGAATACGGATTACAAGATCCCATTGGTTTAATGGCTCGCCCATTCATGCTATGCTAGCGTTTTTTCTGTGCACAACGATTTTGTGAACCATAAATGAAAATAAAACGTTTAGCCGTGTTGTAA